CATCACGTGATTAATACTCAATGTATAAAATAAATGTTTGAAAAAACAAATTTTCTTTTTAAATTTACTCTGAAAATATTTATGACACATTATTTAAAATAGATAAATATATTCTATTCGGAATATCGAAGTATTGTTGATAAAATTAATTATATCGTTAGAAATGCAACTTTATTCATTATTTCGATTTACCTAAAACTTTAATTTTAATGCAAGTAATTTTCTTTCATAAAAATGATAAATTAAATTTATTTATTACAAAAATAAGATGAAAGATATTTTCTAATTCATTCAATTTTATATTTAATATATTTAATACGAGAATATTATGGATTTCTATAATCACGCCGAATTAATACGAACTGCTTGACTTTAATATTTATGGATATTATTATCTTTAATAGATTCCACTTATTATATTATAATTACAAGTGAATTAATATCATATGCTAGAAGTATTGAACTTCTTTTTCATATTTTTAAATCAAATACTAATCAATTACAATGATCTAGTACATAAATATTTTTAATAGAAAATATATTATTTGAGAACATTATTTTTATTGAAATTATAAATTTATAATATAATTAGAATAGACTATTTATTTGAAATGAACTCGAACCTTTTTCAATAGTTGATTCCAGTTAATTCGATATTAATCTTCTAAATTTTAAGGATTTTCAGATAATGAAAAATATTATAATTAATATTGTAATTTCAAAAATTTTAATTTATATAATTTTTAAGATATATATATATATATATATATATATATATATAATAATAATAATAAAAGGAATTTTACTTTATAATTTTAATGAAGTAGTTTAATTTTCAATAAATTTCATAAATAAATATCAAAATCATAATATAAATTGTGCATGCTCGAAATTATTAAAATTAAGATCTTAAGCAAAAAAGTCGTATGGATTATTAAAAGTTTTTTATTTATAAAAAAAAAAATAAAATAACTAGACTATAGATATTTCTTTTATTGAAATGAAGTTGTAATAATATATTTAATTAAATATCGTATAAATAACTTCCAGGTCTGTCGATAAATTCTAATTTTCGATTATGCTTTGTGTATATGAAAAATTCCACTTTTAAAATAATATTACTCTTATAATATTTTAACAATTTTAGCATAAATAATTTTATTAAGTATCTAAAATAATGCTTTTAAAAGTATTTTGATAAATTATGATACGTTGTAACGATAAAAATCAAATAGAAGTATGAATTATGTTCTGCTTCATAAAGATATAGAAGGATATTATGATATGCATATTATTATCGAATTTGTACGTAATGCATTAATATAGAGAATCGCTAAGAGAAAATGTAAAAGTGTTAGGATATAATAGACGACAATCATTTATTCCTTTGGCCATTTGTTCATTATGCGCGGTAAGCTCGTTTTTCCGTTTTTTTCTTCTTTGGGTTCCGTTCATCATATCTCAGCTGCATATTGTCAAAGTTATAACTTTCAATATTGTAGTTAAATTATAAGCGAGATATAAATTCAAATTGTGCATAAGGTATTTAAATAATACAAGTTTTACCAATTATGAATTATTCTATGATAGAAATTTTATAAAAATTCATTTTTAATTACATTTGCGTACATTGACAAAATATTATAAATACTATATGTAGCATTAAATTTATTACTATTTGAATTATTATGTGCTTACAAAACTATTGTAATTATTGTTAATTACGCCACTGTATCGATTTTTCAATGGTCAAAATTATTTTTAAAAACATTATTTTTGATAATAATTAATTAATAGAATTAATTAAATATTAATTCACAGTAGATTAAATTGTATTTTATATTACGAAGTAAAAACGACTTCGTATTAATTATTTAAATTTAAATGGATTGAAGGGACAATTGTATTCTAGGAAAAGACTCACTTAGCATATTATGTAATAATTCATAAAGGAACTTTATTTAAAATTATTACAATAATATGATGATATCCTGCTAATTTTTTTTTTTTTTTTTCATGCAACATTCATAACTTATTGGTGACATAAAATTATTATCCAGACCTGATGATAGATTATATTATGCAGTTATTATTAGCTTCTCTTTGGTTTGTTGATTCGCGAAAATCTGTAGCTTCTTTTCTGTGATTTATTCAATATTCTATGACTTTCTCTATATTCTTTAATCATTTTCTTATCTTAGATGATGGATTCAAATTTGATTATTTATATTCCAATATTTTACTGCTTTATTAGTTTCGTTAATTCGGAGAAATGGAATATTCGACTTTTGACATTACGCTCATAATTCCTTAGAAATCCATCTATTATTATAATGTTATTACATATAAAAAAAAAAAAATTTACACTCGTATTTTTCTACGCTGCTCATGTATTTTTAATGATAAATTATCGAGTATCGATCGTAATATCACCTGTGAGACTATTCTTACATTTTTAAAGCACCGTATTTATTTATAAAAAAAAAGTTTGTTTCTAAAATATGTTGCAAATATTAATACGTAAATGTTTATATAAGCTTTAATATCTCCTTAGAATTCAATAAAATATAAAATTTAGTTAGATAGTGCTTCACCTTCGGGATTATGTATTTAATTCAAATTATTCAGTTCGTATACATAAAAAGGTAATTTTTTCAGATATTAGCGAGGTAGAAACTAATAACATTATAAATTAAAGCTACGAGATATAAATATATTATTTATAATCTTATGCAATGCATATATATATATATATTAATATTGTTGATATAATGATTCTATATTCACTATTTATTCTTTGAAATAATATCTAATATTATATTCAGCATCATAATTATTAATAATCACTATTTATCGTATCTGAATGTTAATACTTATTTCATATTAGTACTAAATGTTCATTTTATAAATGTTTGCGTATCGCTTATAACTGTTCAAAATATTTAACTAGTCAAGCCCTACATTTAAGAATTTTCAAATTAGTTATGTCTTCATTCGAATATTCGAGTATATTTTTTATATATGCTATTGATATAATTTCTACTAGGAATAATTAGTTGCTGTAGCATTAAAATGTGTTATTTAAAAGTGACTTTAAGAACAATAATTCCAAATGAATTGAAAACAAAAATTATACTCTATGATAAATTTTAATATCTAGTTGCAACTGTGCGAAAATAGTATTCATAAATTTATCGACAACATTTTCATTTATTACAAAATCTTTTCACATCTAAGAGAGAAAGTTTTTGTCTTCATTAATTCATATTTTTAATTAATGAAAAATTTTTATAAGAAGCAAAAATTTATATCTTTTTAATTTGTTTTGTATATGAAAAACATAATAAACTGGCTAAATTATAACTAAATTCAATATGATTAAATACTTATTATTTGTAATAAAATTAAATCTGCATAATTTTAAAACTATTACTTATATTATAGTTAAGTAGTAAGATTATGTTGTATTTAAATTAATCTGCTGAATATAAATTAGAATAAAATTGCTTTATTAAATTTAAAAGAATTTAAATATACATAAAGTCCTTCTTATGTGTATTTTATATATTATTTATATAATTATTTATATTCTATATTAAATATTGCAATAATGTATTTGGCAATTATTTGGCTTGCTAATTCATATTTACATGAACATATCAATGAATTCGAATAGTGTTAAATTTTGAAAAAGTACATAGAATTAACTGAATAGTAATATAATGATTTCAATATATTTCACTTATTATTACAATATATAATGCTTATAATAAAATGTTTATGCATAATATTATAAATTTATCTCATATGCTTCTAAGAATCATCTCCCAAGAATTACATATTTAGAAGAATTAATATTTAGAAGAAGAATGACATATTAATATTATTATAAGCATATCTTGTAAAACATATATATATATATATTTTTATATATCGGAGTAATAACAGTAAGGAGAAAAAGACAAGAGCAATAATTACATAGAAATTTTAAGAAAAAAAAAGGTAATTACGTTATAATAATTATTAAATATATATATATATATATATCTAATTATGCAATAAAATTAGTAAAAATTTAAATACAGAAACGGCTATTCATCTAAGCTTATTGATGAAGCGCGACAGAAGTACGAGATGAAATGTCGTGGGAAAAAGTCTGACACTGATGAATTCCATTTACCTAATATCTTGTTGATTTTCAATTACGTTCGGCCTGAACGACGTCTTGCCCATAAGTTCAAGTGAAATTGGGAGAATAAAAGTGTTGAAATAACTTGCCGACGTTGCTTTTACCATTAATAAAAATTTATGCGACATCCACCGTGAATTTTTGCCATCCATTTATCAGCTCTCGAGTACATTGGAAGAGTAAACTTTTCTAACGGACTCACGGCTTATCGCGCTCTCACTCTAATTGCTATTGTTCAAATAAATCGTGCTAAATCTCGGATTCTATAAAGCACGAGCGGAAAATGTATTGGGCCGCTTTAGCGAGCAACTCCAATACGAATATCTTCACTCATAAAGTAACAGCAGCTACGATCGTAAATAGCTCGGTTCCCATAAGCGTGAAGCCCAGGCTTTTCATGATTTTCGCACAATTTTCACGGAGCAAAATAATAAGCGGCGAGGCTAGTGGTAACCGCTCGATCGCCGACGTGACCGAGGGGCAAACGGGGATGAAACATTCGAATCCAAATGCTTGATTAACGAAAACGAGATAGGCGAATCGTTAAAGCGGCCGTTAAAGCCTCGGAGTCAGGTAGTGAAATAAACAATTAAAAGCGCGGGTAGTGTTCGACACAAAAATGGGGTGGCTCGATTAATGAAAGAGCGTAATAACCGCGAGTGAAGAGAAGCTCCTAAGGCGGGGGTGGAAAAATGAGGAAGGAGACGCATAGACGAGGCGTGGATCGCTCCTCCAGAGGGCGGGGGAGACGTGCGACCATCGGGTGAGGCTGGGGGCTGGCACGCGCAGTGCATATGCAGTCGGGCGATACGCGGCGCTCGACGCGGAAGTGCGCGTCCCGACCCCGATGTCGAACGTCCTCGTCGGCGCGCGAATGGCCCCAGAGGCGGGAGCGCGATTATGTGATTCCGAGAGGCCGTGCGGCGCGAGTGCGTAGCCGACCGAGGCTGAGTCATGGACAAGCTCAAGGGCACGAGGATGAACCTCCTCCAGGACTTTAACAGGTAAGTTAGCGGCAATAGGGCTTAACGGCAAACTTGGCATTTCAAATAATAACGCCACGGCGGTTCGCTCGAACGCGACGACTATTTCTGCGCCTTAACGAGAGATCGAACGCGACCTTTTCCCATGAATTTTGCGATTTATACGTGCCGCGGTGGATCCTCTCCTTAGATCTCTCCTAAGCCAGGCCTTCGATCACTCGTTCTTTACCTCCTTCCTTCTTTTATTAGCAGAATCTTTTCCATCGTCGTATTACTATTATTTGTAAATTCATTTTATCAGAATGTCGCTGCTGGCTCTTCGATGCAGGCTTTTCGTCAATTTGATGGAGATGAGTCAAAGAAGCATTACGACGATTTATGAAACGTTGAAAGTTTTTTAACGAAGACTAGCTAGATAATTAATTAAAGTGTTTTAAATTGAAATTATCTAGCTCAGATTAATTGCAATATTTAAATGAAATATTTAAATTAAAGTTCTTTAGTTAAACTGCATCTTCATCTCTCGCGATTCCGAATTAATCATTTCAGCTGCGTTTGTTTAACAAAAAAAAAAAAAACGTTATTATAATTAATCAAGTACGAAGACAATAATATAGTTAAAAATATACAACGCAATTTGAGAAAATGAAAATTTTTTCTTTTTTCGTGAATCCAATAGATAAATAAAGATTTTTATAATTGAAATTTATAATTATCGTGTGATTGGATCTATGTTTTTCAATTAAATGCTAAAAGAAGTTTCTCATAAAGGATAAGAAATTAAACGAAACAATTAAATTATTTCGAATAATTTCGATTTGAATTATATAACAATAAACATCATTCATGACTTTACTCCTCAGTTTTGAATTACTTTCATAAACCAACTTAATTATTTCAATTTCTTTCTGGAATAATGAAATCAACCTTTGTCTCATTTTAGTACTTTATATTATAACATGTATTAAATTATATCCTTTTAAAATATAAATTACTCTAACAGCCTTAAGAAACATTTATGTTAAAAGTTGAAGAATAATTTCATTCAAAATTTAGCTACAAAATTTCATGTTATGTTGTACTTGAAGTTTTAATAATAATATTTGTTAAAAGATTCATTGTAAGTTGTACAGTTGTGAGATCTAAACTATTAAATTTAACATTCAACTGCATAACTTTAGTATACTCTACTTTTTCGCAATAAAATCTGTGATAAAATGAACAAATATATTAAACTGCGTTGATAAATATTCCTCAGCTAAATAATATATATATATATATATAAATACAATAAAAGTTAATTACTAATGATATATTTATATTATACTTTTGTAAGTTTCAGTGGTTTAATTATTTGCTATTAAATATATTTGAATAATCATTTTTTTTTCTCTATTTCTAATTACTATGCATTCATTATTTATGTATTCACCTTGAATTACTACGTCACAGGCTTATACATATTTTCACTCACATTTTATTTTATGCTTATATAAATCAAATTTCATAAATATTACATAAATGTTACATAGTAGATTTACATTATGGATCAATTAAGGATAAGTTAAAAGACAAAAAAAAAAAAAAATTAGAAAAAATCAGAAATTCTCAATGTGAAACGACTAACAATTTGTTGACGCAGTGAATTATGGAAGGACTCGGGCCAGATGAAGGACTTCAATAGTAATGGGAGCTTGGCGATGGCTACGATGCCGCCCAATATGACATTTACCCATCAATCGCTGACAATTGTAATCGTCTATTGTGTCTGTTTTTTCGTCGCCGCAGTTGGCAATCTGACGGTCTTTCTTACGCTTTCGAGGGGCAGGTATCGCAAGTCGCGGATATCACTGATGATTTGCCACTTGTCCATCGCCGATTTACTCGTTGCTTTCTTCACCATTCCCATTGAAGTAAGTTTATTATTTATACTAAAATATGAAATTTATCAATATAAGATGCACTTTTTATTTTGTATTTAGAAGCTAGCATTTGTAAAATTTGGAATTTTCCCGTTAATATGATAAAAACCGTCGTTTAATGGCTCTTTATTCAACGCCGAATATTACAAAAATATCAGTCTACCTATTATTCATTTAGTTTCATTTAATTTTATGTACCGTGGTACGTTTTGTTTATTGTATTTATATTTTTCAATTAATTTTTCCATTTCAATAATTCGTAGTTGTAGTATATTATTAAATTCATTTTATTAGGCTAGTTAGAGTTTTAATTTATCTAAAACTCTATTTAAAATTAATATAATGATAATTATATATGTATTGATGAAAGCTTCTATGTAATTTATACTATATATTTGACTTTTTTTTTTCTTTTTCTTTTTTTTTTTTTATCAAAATACACCCGAGAATCTGAAATCAAAAGAGTTATGCAAATCCTTAGAAATATGTTTTTATTTAGATTATTCATTATAGAAAAGTGATTTATATATTAACAAAATAAAAAGTAATGGCACTAAATATTAATTAATTAAATGTCTAAAATGTTGATGTAACGATTAAACTACGTTATACTACTTCTAAAGAAAATATAGCGTAATATTGTCAATAATATATGCAAACCATATATTATTAAATGTATTTGTAACTAACTCATCTCTATAGTATGCGAAACATTATTTAATAAAAACAAAAATTTATATATATGATTATTATTTGATAAAACAAAAATCTTTAATATAAAAATAAAATTAAAATACTATCATTATTCAACATATTTGTATAATGTATAAAATGCATAACTCAATAATTTAACAAATAATTTATATAAATATGTATTAATAATATGTTCTTCCTTTCGTATCTCCATTTTAAACAGTAATTTTATATCCAAATAAAAATTTTTCAAGTGAATATTTTATTTACTTTCAATGTAACTACTAGAGTCCAGACATGATGTGATATTTGTAAACTTCTATAAGAAACTATATTTTAATGAAATATTTTACATGATTGATTGAATTCTAGATTCTTTCGAATACCTCATATTTACAGAAAGTGATTAAAATGAATACATTTGAATATGAAATCAAAAAAAAAAAAAAAAAAAAAAAAAAAAAAAAAACATATATATATGTACGTATGCACGTATATTTTATACTTTAGACATTTATTCTGTTTGATATATGCATAACTCAATATCGTTTGTGAATTATAGAAAATTTGTTTGATATATTGCAATATTTACTATATCATAAAATTATTATTTTGATTTTATATTTGGTTTTTTGATAATACAAACATGGATGCAGAATTGCAAAGAATGCAAATAAATTTTCAAAAACTATTTTTTTATAGTATAAGATAATTTTTTTTTGTTTTATTTAAAAACTACACGCTAAGATAGAACTTTTATTCAAAAAGACTTAAAAATCTAATAGACTCGATTTCATTACGAAATACATAAATCGAATAATTTTACATTTGTTGGCTTTGATCCTTAGTTCTTTAAAAATGTTTAATAGAGTCTAAAATAAAAGTAGTAAAATTTATTTAACTTTGAAAGCTTATTTTAACTAAGCAGATTTAAAAAATCATATACATTTGGAATGAAAAGTAAGTTTCATATAATCAGCTCAGTTAAGATAATTGTATCTGTTTTATTTTATGTTAAATACTTTACTTACATTTGTCAAAACTTTTGTTTTACGTCTGCTTTCTTTCAACGCTATTTATATATTTTTTTCCATTACAATGAAAATCTTATATTTCCAAAAACAATTAGTAAGAGTGGAATAAAAAGTGTTTGGTCCGTAATATTTGCAATAAAATTATATGAATTTACATAATATGCCTTGTATGCTTATATAAAAATTAATCTTATTTTTGATAAAATGATATTGTGATAAATGGAATATCATATTTTCATGAGCATATAAATTAAAACGCCATATTTTTTTCAGTGAATTTATATAAATTATATTTTTATGATAAAACTAAAAAGGTCGATTATTAATTCTTTTATCAGCAAATGTATTAATGTAAGCAAATGTATTAATCGAGTCATTCTTAAATGCATTAAAATCATTATGAAAAATGCTCATGTCGGAAAATTTCAAAGCTTTATTTTCAATATTTTGGCTTTATATAAGTTTTATATTAATACTTCACTTACTAGCCATTGTGCGCAGAAATATTATTATTATCATAATTACAGCTATTCAGGGCTGACATTTACACTCAATAAATACTGAATGCTCATAAATAAATAGATAGATAGAGAAAAAGATAAATCTCTTCGCTTAAGAGATACGATGATCGGAAATCGTTCCTGTCCTTTATGACTTTTTTTTTTTTTTTTTTTTTTTTTTTTTAAAAATACCCTTCTGACATGGCGTATATTGTCTCGGTACTGTATAGCAACTGTAGTTTCCCTATGCTATAGTGCGGTTCTTTTCCCCAAGTCGTTACTCGTTGTCATTACAACTTCATTGTTCATGTAGCCGATTTAAAAGTGAGGAAACAGATAGGGCGGAGTATATTCGAAAGACCGTCGCTCTGCTTTTGACGGCTGTTTCAGTCTCCCCGTCGCTATTATCACTTAAATGAACTGTGTTCGCTTTTAAAGTAGATCGGACGATCGATCATCGCTTTTTCATTTATTGATGGACGATTGACAAGACTTTTGAAAATCTATCGATTTGATATTACTTGTTGTTGACGCGTTATTTCGTGTTGGGCTTCCTCTGTGTTATCTTGTGCTTAATTGCCTCGTTTGATCAATGAATACATTAAACAGCAAATTAAACGAACCTATATGAACGTGTAATAAAGAACGCGATATGCGGCGGAAGCGTCTTAAGCACTGGCATTTATGACATACATAAAATTAATTATAAAAGTTTTGTCATACAGTTTTGATATTTCATATACTGTAGATAAGAATTTTATATTAGATGCAATATCTTATGGTTTTCACTAAAATTGAATTTATTGGTTTACAGAGGTGTTCGTGCAAAAATCCTCACTTACGTACATAAACGATGCCAATAATTCAGAACAGAAAAATGATTATTTAAAAAATTTATTTATAATTTTTATCATTAATCTCAAACTTTCTTATTTTATTATAAAATCAGAGTGATGTAATTTTCTACTAATTTCTGTTGCTTCAAAAACAATTTGAACTAGTACATTACTATTTTGCAAAGATTATTTACGATTAGTGAATGAAAATACTATTATTGCCACATAACTTATTGCCATATATTGTTATGCTTTTAGTCAATAATAACTAAAATCAGTATAATTCTATTAAAATGGAATTATGAATATTAAAAGAATATTAATTTAGTTCCAAAATTCACAAATCATATAAATCCTCGTCAATTTCAATTTTCTTAAGCTTGTTTCGTTTTTTTAATTTTACCGATATTTTAAAATTCTACTTCATTTGCTACTAATACTTTGGTTATATTTAATATTATTTAATACTATTTAACGTATTTATTTGTATTTTAATAATTTAAATGATCGTCTCTTATTTATTTATATCCATTATTTATATTTTCACATAAATAAATTCTTTGTGATTACTTGTGATACTATTCAGTTTCGTTAGTATTTTCAATTTGATAAATGAATAAAAAAACTCGTTTATTACTATTAAAATGATGAATGTTTATATTCCTTTATATATAAATTAAGAATTAAAAATTTAATAAGAATTGAATGTTATTTTCTTGATCATTATATTGTTTGATTTATACAATTATGAATATCCATATTTTAATTAGTTTATTTTTATTTATTGCTATTTCTTGTTTGTCATATTTCATATTTTCTATTGATACCCCTCTGACAAAATAATTCCAGCATTTTCTAAAAATGATGTTTATTTAATCTTTATGTTTAAACATTTTTATTAAATTGTATTCAATTTAATTCTTATAATAGAAAATTTTCAATAAATTTTTTAACTACAGAGGTAAAGCCTTACTTTCTAACATTTTTAATAATCTGATAAATCTGATTTATATATTTATTCGAAATAATTAATTATTATAAGGTAGATTTATATACAATAGGCACTTTTATAAACAAGAAATTAGCTGCATTGATATATTATAGTTAAAGAAATGTTAGAGAGACAAAAAAAAAAAAAGTTATTAGAAAAGTCACACTTATATAATAGCAAATAATGTATTTAAAAAATAATGCATAAAGCTAAAAATCTGGCTTATAAGCTCATTACTTTTTCTCAAAAATTGAAACTTCATAACCAGCTTATAGTATATTGTTTTATATTTTTATAAAACTAATTATATTTACTTGAAATTTTTCTTTATTGGGTAAATATTGTACAAATACTTTTTTCCCGGTATTACATTAAGCTATTGCAAAAAAAAATCTATAACCTGTAATTGTATAAAAGTTTAATGAAAGTTTTATTGAAATAGGGCACGATTAGTGAATAATTAAAATATAATAAATAATGAATAATAAACAATTTATTTTATTCTTTATTATTTATTTCACTATATTGCTTTAGGAAAATAGTAACAAACTAGCGATAAAATTTTATTTTAAAATTGGTATAACATAATTATTAAATAAATTTTAATTTGGCAAATTAATTTTTTAATAATCAGATAGATATAAGAATAAAACGAATTATTCGATACAATAATGATTATCATTTAATGAAATATTTAAATTAGTGGAAACTCAAAATATATGAAATGCAATACTGAGTAAGAAAAAAACGGATATTATTTATTACTTATTATTAATGGATATTATTTATTATTTATTATATGAATAATTCTCATGAATTTGTATGATACATATAACGTTATGTATAAACTCATATCTCTATTTATTTACAAAAAAATTAATCATGTAAATAAATTTTTCGTTTTTGTCGATTTTTTGTATGGGAAGCTGTTTCTTTG